ACACCGGAGTAAGTGAAGTGTGTTAAAAAAACCCCCACACTTATGATGCTTTTAATGATGTGAGAAATTTAATACTGTTTTACTGCTTATAGCTTGATTTTTGACATCTGATTCTTGCAGTAAAACTAAGTGGAGTGTACTAAACTAAGCAGATCGTAAATGCTTGTGAGCAGAGGCTGTTTTTGTACATGCATACATCTAGTTTTGTAAGGTTCCTGTCTAAATGAGACTGATAAAGCACTTGAAATACAAATAGTTAACGATATGCTTGTCTGTAAAGAACAGTTACACCTACAGCATTCAGATATGGTATTACTTATAAGTGAAACCACTTGAGGATGCTTTCCAGAACCCAGTTAACTCTTAAGTTTAGCTGTTGGGTTTCGATGTGAGGAATGCTGCAGTTGTGCTGGGGAAAGAGTTTGTGTGTGTGTTGAATATTCTTCATGATGGTATTCCCATCAACTCAGAGGCGTTCTTTCTCTTACTGGATGTCAGAGCTCAGGGGAACATCACAGGCCAGCTGGAAAACAAGACTTGTCTTATGCAGTTTGAGAGGCTTTTTTTCCCTGAGGAGAAACAAAAATCCCAGTGTAGGCTGAGCATAATTGGTATCACACAAACTTCTGTAGATGACACAGGAGTAAAGTGTAGCTAAATGGTCTTGCCACTGTCTGTAACTTCGTGTAATCTTCAAGTTATTTGTGTGTGGGGTTTTTTTGTTGTTTTAATTTTTAAGATGTAGAATCCCTAGAAAGGCAGCTAAGTATGGTTTAAAGATAAACTTACTCTGTATAATAAATGTGTCTTGACTTTCTGTGTAAGGTTTTGAGCAATATGAACATGAAAGTGGCATCTTAACAAATAAAGACTTTTTATAGTAATGTAATTCTTTGATGCTAAATAGGATAACTATGGCCTGTTCTTTTGGTTATGTTGATTTTTAGACCCAACAAATTTGCTTTTCTATTATACCAGTTTTTTAATTCAACTGAACTGTGTTGTCTGTGACAGTGCTGTAAATAAATGCGATGCATCATGTTTGGGTAGGGAGAAAAGATTAGTCTACTTCCTCCACTAGATTTGAGAACTCAACACAGACAAACTGTATAATGTTCAGTAATTCATTCAACAAAACTGCTATTTTCATAGTTTGCTTTGTAAGCCATCCCGCTTCTGAACACATTTATTGCTCTTTGTATTGGAAATGACAAAGTGGTGTAATTCTACCCGAGTTTTGTACATATGTGTGAAAAAAATACACTAGCTTAATTTGTTTTCCTTCCTCCTTAGTTAGAAACAAATCTCTTTTAAGGTTCCATTCAGCTACCATTGCTCATTTTTTATAGCTTTGTATCATCCTCCATTCAGTGTTTTTAAAAAATATTTAGCCATTTGTGGTTCTCTGTGTTGCTGCTTCAAAAGTTCAAGCATTACAGGTACTCTAGGAAATGTGTGATGTTTGGCTTAGATAAGGTTAAAGCTTTCATGTTTCTGTAAAACAATGCAAGTTAAAGATTTGCTCATGTAATATAAAACTTAGGTATTGTTTTATGTCGCCTCTGCAAAGATCTGCTAGGAACAAAACAAAGCTGCAGAAGTACGTGTGTGACTATTATTTTCTTAATTTGTAAATGAGTACGCTGTTTCTTATGTCTAACTCACGATTGTTCTTACAGCTTTGACTTGTATCTGTTTGGACAACTAATTTGACTAGAAAAACACGGCTTGTGTGCTGGTTATGCGATCATATTTTGCCCTTGTTTTTTTTTTTTTCTTCATTGTGAGGATTGTTTGGGGAAAAATAAATGGCAACTGTTGCTTTGACTCCTTGATGATACAGAGCAGTAAGAATGTGCTGGACAGATGAAGAGCACTCCACTTGAGTAACTCCAAGAATTGCTGTTGATTGACACTTGAGAAAAAGCGGTCGTGTAAGTTATTTTTAGCAGCTTTTGTTTTAACTCTAAAAAGGCAGCTGTTAAGTGGTATGAAATCTCCAGTGATGTCCTGTAATGTTAGGGGAAGTTCTGCATTCTGGAGGAATTATTACTAGATGTCACAGAAATGGTCACACTTCATGCTCTTTTATAGGCTTTTTTTAATTGCAGAAATACTGTAAGAACAAAAGCAGTGAATTAAGAGTCCCTGTTTGGAATTCTGCTTTATTTGAGGCCTTTGCTAAAGCCATGATGTATTTGATTTGATAGCTCGTCGAGAAGTGGGGTGCAGTTGGGGTAACTGGCTTCTTACTGAGTGTAGTGCAGTGTTTGTGTAAGATGCTGAACACCTCAGGGTCCCTCCAGTGCAGTCTGTAGAGAGTGCAGTGACTTGAAATTTAGTAACTTGTGTTACTGAAAGTTTAAAAAATGGAGTAATATTGTAGGTACTGAACAGCGTGTTTGGGAGAGGGTGTGTCATAGTGAGTAGAACAGCTTATCTGGCAAAGCCGTATGTAACTAAACCTACTATAGCAAAATACTGAACTTTTGATCTGACTACGGTACAAGAGAAATCTCAGCTACTGTCTAACGTTTGAGTAAAGACCTGGGCTGTTGTTCGTGATGTCTGGTAGGGACGTCATTCATGTGGATCAGGGAAAGAAAGAAATCACATAATCAAAGCTTTTTATGAAGGCTGCCACCTGTTTGCAGATATCAGTGTTTCCAGAATTATACAGCAAGTACTTCAGCTGACCTCCATTACTGTGGCTGCAAATGGGAACTAAATTCTCACAATTAGTTTTTAGTTGCAGGAAAGCAGGAGACTCTCAAACATCTGTGCAGCTGCAGTGCCTTTAGAGTGGAAGAAACACTGGTGCAGGTCCTCCAGCGGCATTTCAGTGCCTGTCACATAACGTGGCTCCAAGTAGCTCTAACACAGTGGGGAAACTTCATAAAACTTGTTAGTGTAAACAGGGCCAGGAAGGTGATGGCATGTTTTGTTTTCAGGAATTAATACATGCGTGGTTCTATAAATACATTGATTCCTGGATGGTACCGGGAAGCAATAGGGGACTCGGTGCTGTCTTTTGTAAGTCTTTCACTTAACAATAAGTGGTTAAAACACTGGATTTCTGTAGGCCATATTTTTCATTAGTCAAATGTTACTAGTTTCATTTATGTAATAGCGGGTGGGCAGAGCTATGATTAAGTAGTTGCTAGAAATCTTGTTATGACTAATCTTGGTTTGGTGTTATTTTAGTTTCTTAGTCTCAGCCTTTATGTACAAGGATTTATATTTTGCCAAACAGCTGGAGGAGTTCTTTTTAGGGGAGTTGCTTTAATACAGAAGTTAGAAGTCTGAAAAAGTTGATAAAGTACTTAGAGGATGTGCTTTATTTATAAAGGTAGGCATTCGTGTTTATTTTTAAGACTGGTAACCATGATCTGATTCGTAGGGCAGTGAGCCAAAAGGCGAGGAAAGCAGGAAACCTAGATGGAGCAAGTCTGAAACAGGGTTGTTGAACGTGTTTTTTCTTGTTTAAATGACTCTGGCTGATTGCTGCAGCAGCACATTACAGGCACTTCTAAGCTTGGAATGAAATCTCTCACCACCTCCTTCCTGCACTGTTTTGATTAGCCAGAGCAGACTCACCAGTTTCAGTGCATGGTGAGCAAAAGAGCCTGAGTGCAGAGGAAAGTTCTTGATCCACTGCTGAAAATGTTGAGTTCAACATGAATCTGTTAGAAGCTTAAATTAGCTGTAATGAATTTACTGGAAAATGAAGCATCAGACCAAACAGGTTCTAGAAGCCTGAGAACATGTAGCCTCTGTGCCTCAAGAGATTTCTCAAAGAAGCTGGCTTTTGCTCCTCTCGGTATTTTGAAGGTTTTCACTTTTGTCCTTTATAAGCTGGACCAGCGTAGCCTGCTTTATAGTGTTGTGAGTGCAATTCAGCAATATGTTCAAACTGATCTAACTGATAGCTTGGGGAGCTAAGACAGCAAGTTGTCCTTGTGGGGGAGGTGGAGTGAGTGTTCTGGCTTGTTCCAGAGTCAAAGTGCTAGTGCAAGAGATAAGATGGGATCTCCTCTTCTGACAGCTGTTAAATTAGCTAGCTGTGGTGTCATACTGCTCCACAACTCTTTCCCACAGAAGTTTTTGAAGAGTAAGTCCCTCTCTTACTTTTGAGCACAAGTATATCTCAAGCCTGTTACTACAGGAGAATGTTCAGAAATTGTACTTTGTACTTATCAAGAATAGAATTAAATGTCCCCGTTGTTGTTGTTATAGCTTGGTAAAAGAGAGTGCATGCTGGAAGGGAAAGAAAAAAAAAATCTCAGACTGTGCAAAGAGCTGGCATCTTGTTTCCTTAAAGGCAGGTGTGAAAAGTAGTGTGGAAAGCTGCATGGTATGATCAGAGAGTGTTGCAGCAGATGGGATGTTATGCCAGGTGTCAGCTCAGGAACAAAAATTACAATTAAAAAATGGGCATGTAGGATGAAATCCTAGATGCTGCTGCACACTGAAGCAACTCTTTCATAGCTTGGGCATTTAAGGTAATGCTGTCAGATGCTGCTGTCGAATAACTTGTTGGGCTAATGCAGTATGGGGTTGCTTAAAGTTTAATGGGGAGATGTGTTACAGATTGAGCTACACCATACAAGGTAACTTATGGTTGTGACAAAGCTCAAATTTACTTAACCTGCCTTGAATTGTGAGTAACTTAAGTGAGGCTGGTTGGTTAATGCTGAGTGTTAAATGATTTTTAAATAATGTTTTCAAGATGGTCATTTGTAAATGAAGGGACAGTCTACATGCTTCCAAACCAAGAGAAGAAATGCAGTGATTAAGTGGAAGATACATAGTAAAATTCAGATATGAATGCCTCAGAATGTTTGCAGCTGCAGAGCTAGTAAGCCTTTGATTAAAGCTTGTTTCTGTGAGTTATTTTTTTCTTCTGCAGAAGCTAAAGGATAATAGGACAGTTCTAGCAATAGCATTTGGTTCTCGGGTTGGGTTTGGCTTGTTTCTTGTTTTGTGGTTTGTTTTGTTGTTGACTTTTCTTAACTATCAACTGTAGTTCTAGACTAAAACTCTAATTAGAGTTCCTTCAGCTTGTGAAATATTTAGTTCAGGAGGCTCATGAATTAAACCTAAAAATACTAATGGCAAGATTATACATGTAAGTACCGTAAGGTTTCAAAGTTGCTGCTGACTGACTTTGAGCAAATCGTTGTAGTGATAAACTATCTGCAACACAATGCTGTTTTCCTTGCATGGGAGTTTGAGAAGAGTGGTCAGAAAGACTGTAAGGCTGTCTGGGCATTGCTGCTTTTAAGGAACTAGTTGCACACTCGCCTCTCTAATCTCTCACACTGTTAAAGGATTATGCGCTTCAATTGAGAAGCCAGCACGGGAACCAGTCTGCAGTGTCAGAAACACTCTCTGCAGAGTCTATTTTAAAAAAGAAATATGGTCCAATTTCAAGTTTTCCAACCCTTTAACTGCAACTATAAAAAAAATTCAATGGTGGTGTTAATCTAATGTTTGCCTCTAGATAAGATGTGGGGAGGAGGGTGGAGAGGGAATGGGTTAGCTGCCAGTTTTAAAAGAATCCTGGAACAGAACCTTGTCCTGCCCCTATTTGAGGCTGTTCAGAATTAGATAGGTGGGGAAAGGTTTGGTGTTCCAAGTTCTCCAATGTTGGAATGTAATTTATCTATAAATCACTTTATGAAATGTTTGAGTAGTTGATGAATGCATGCGGGGAGTTATTTTGCAGTAGCAATATATATTGTGAGTATTATAACTTGTATTTGTTCCTCAAATACTCAAAAGTAATGACATGTTGAGAAATTACACTTTTCAAGCTTTTTCAAACTTTACTTTATGAAAGTATACCATATTCTGGAAAAGATAACAGTTTTGGAATTAGGTAAAGGGTATCTGGAAATACTTTTTTAATTTCAGGGAGTTGGAGTAAGGTGGTCTTGAGTATTCAGTCAAGTGACAAGCAGATGTTAGTAGTTTTATCAGTACTTGTGGGTGTTTTTTTGTCAAAGATTAATTAAATTTGGTAATTTACCACTTCACAAAATGAATGTTTATATTAGATGTGTTTTCATTGCCAGTAATCTCAAGGCTACAGTCTCTTAGCTGTTTTCCTGCACAATAGTGACTACTGACACTCAAGTGTTCCTTAGATGACTGGATGTAATCAGTCATCTTCCCTAAAAGGAATATTATCTATCATTATTCAAGATGAATGTATTTTACATGTGAACTTTCTTTTTTTACAGTGCTGTAGGTAAAACATGCCTACTCATCAGTTACACAACCAATGCATTTCCTGGGGAATATATACCCACTGTGTAAGTACTTACAAAATCCTAAGAACTCATTTATGTCAGCTTCTCTGTGCTTACTGCTGTTCCAGATTCCTTGTTTGAACTGGCTGCAAGAATCCCTCAGGTTCATCTTAAACATTTAACTGAGTATCTAGGTGTCTGTAAGGAGAAGAACTTTGGGCTGTTACTGCTTAGCACTGTCGTACCGGAGCTTGTTCATGCGCCATCAGTTTTGCCTCTCTGCCCTCTAGGCCTAGCTTATTAGGGACTAACACATGAACATTTTATCAGATGCTGTTCTCTTATTTAAAATAATATGTTATTTCTATGTTTAATATAATTTATAATAAGGAATCCCAAGACTGAACAGCTTGTAAAACGTCATATCGTCATATCGTAGTCAGAAATAGTTGGTTCATGTGACTAGAGATTTTTTTCTCATTTGTTCCTTCCACTACTTGTGCTACTGCCAAACCTGTGCTAAGCCAGCTACAGCTCTACAGCTCCTCGGGTGAGATTGTGGGGACTCATTTATTTTGGTGCTTCCCACTTCTTGTACGTAAGCGTTTGTCAGTATCAGTATTAGTGTAGTTCTCTTTTTGAGGGCTTGTTGGGGGCAGACGTTTTATACACCAGCAGCTGCTTTGCCGTTTTCATATGTGTCTATATTTATCTGGCTATCTTGCTCTTTGTAAGTATTGATGATTTTTTCAGATAACTAAATACATTCTAATGACACTTACAGATTACTTTAGTTACCCTTCCAAGGCCTTGTTGTCTTAATTACTCCTTTCACCTCACCTTTTTTTGGTCTTAAATTTGCATTTTTGCATTACAGTATGCTTGTGTTCCCAGTGAGCTTAGTTTAGTGTGAACAAGTCATTAAAACCTTTGCAGCTACAGTAGTGATGAGATAAAAATTAGGTCTCTACTGGCCCCTAGTTATTAACTTTGCAATTTCATTGGAGGGGTTTTTGATTAGCAGGATTAATAAGTTTGTTTTGTTCTTACCTACTGTTGTCATTAAGGATTCCTTGGTTGTTGCTCATGTATCTTCAATTCTAAAACTTACAAAATGAGACAGATTAACTTGCTGAATGTCCCACCAAGAGTGGAAAGTGCTTGCTAAGTGCATCACCTGCCTTCCTGTACTTATGGAGGTTGACACTTCCCTCGGAATAGCAATGAAAAAGATGAATTCTGTTCAGATTGAACAAGTCTGTTGTGCATATTTTTTCCTTTCATTACCCAATACCAGACTCGGTATTTAAAGAACAACTTTACTGTTTCTGGGGGTATTTTTTCCTTTCATTACCCAATACCAGGCTCAGTATTTAAAGAACAACTTTACTGTTTCTGGGGAACAGAAGGATGCAATAAAAACATTTCCTTTCATAATGTTCCAAATTAGGACTCTGTAGGAAAAAGTCCTTGGGTGCCCTATTTTACCCCAAGCTAATGCAGCTAACTCTTGCTTTATTTTTTTAGTTTCGACAACTACTCTGCTAATGTAATGGTTGACGGAAAACCAGTCAATCTGGGTTTGTGGGATACAGCTGGTCAAGAGGACTATGACAGATTACGTCCACTCTCCTATCCACAAACAGTAAGAACTACAGTGTGAAACTAGAAAGAATCTGTACAGCTTTGTCTAATGTAAAGGGTTTGGTGGTTGTTTTTTTTTTTTTGGAACATAAGGCGAATTTGTCACATCTGGAGTTGTATTTCTTAGTAATAGTGACTTGTTGCAAGCTACCTTCCTTCATCCTATGTGCTGTAGCTGCAATATTATAATCTTTGATGTGTGTACAGTTGTACAAATGTTAAAATTTGCATGCTTGTGTATTTGTGTGCGCTGATACTTGGTGGCTTTTGTGTAGTTGCAGTCTCGGAATCACCTAGAGTGTTTGATTTAAAACCAGAAAAAACCCAAACACCCCTGCCCCCCCCCCCAACACCACCTAAAAACCGTTGGTGAATAGTCCCATCAGCTAGTCCATTGATTTTAAGTTTAGCATGCCTGCTAAAAGCAGGGTTTGTTTTTGGTTTTAGGTGTGATGTTTGGCTGCAACCTGACACTGTCACTGCTAAGCACTTGATACTGTTTAGTCTCTATGAAGATGCTCTAGATGTGAAAGAGGCAGTACTGAATGAAGATACTGGTATTGACAGAGGCTGTGTCGAAGCTTTCAAATGTACTTAAGCCCGTGGCTATTTTATTACTTGCTGTAGTTTGTGCTATAACATCAATACAATGTGCTTCTGTCTTCTATGCTTGCAACTGGTTAAGTCCTGTCTGCATGCAGCATCTTTCCTTGTGTAAGGAAAATGCCAAAGTATAATCTGGCTCCGCTCTTTCCACTGCGACTTCAGCTACAGTTAATCTTTGTAGAGGCTGGTTTTCTAGGCTCTTTAGAGCAGTTACATTTATCTGGTGGAGCTGTGCTATAAGTAGAGAAAGGTGGTAATTTGCAATTTTTTGGGCATTGATTACTGTTGTTGTTAACTGTCAAATATATATTCAATGCTAATAATGTAAAATGCAAAATTATTTTAGTTATTCTACAGCATGACTGCTCTGTTGCATAACCTGAATATTATTTAATGAACCCTGGTACTTTTTTTAGTAAACTGTCTTAATTCACAATTTTCCTTAATTCACTCCTCACTAACTCTTACAATTAGGCTTTTCCATCAGTTACGAGACCTACGATGGATATGAACTTGCCAGTTGTAGGCAACTCTTAGTAGAAATGCCAGAAATACCAGCCTTTCCTAGGAAGAGAGACAATGGAAAGCTGTTTTTCTCTAATATTTAGGTATTTATAGGATACCTAGAACTTAAGCTTTATTTAACATTGTAAAAATACTTTCAAAAAAGTGTCCTGGGGTAGAAAAAGGTATGTTGAAAGATCACTCAATAGCGTGAGATAGCAGAGTTGTAAGAGAGTATACAGTTCCTCTGCTGTGACAAAGGGACAGAATGCATGTGCATGTCTTCAGACGGCTAAAATAATTGCGGCTTTCTGACAGACTGAGAAGGAATTCCATGTCAATCTAAACATACTTTTGGGAAAAAATTCTCTTCTGTACAAGCATGTATAACTGTTAAGTAAAGATTTGAAGTACTTTCAGTCGTTTGGATTGTTTTTCACAGCAGAAAATGAAACAAGGTGGTAAGTTTTGAACTTCTTATGAAGCAGCCTTCAGATCTTAAGACTTGTGCAATATGTAAGATTCATCATCACCTAAGGGACAAAAAACCCACAAAACTAACGAAAAGCACAGAGGAAGAGAACAGTGAAGAGAGCTGATGAAGCCCGACTTTTTTTAGGATCAGCATTCAGCCTCCCCCTTCCTTCACTGGGCTATTTAAAATTCTCATGTGTTGTTGTGGCCCTCTGTTTCCCTCGATGTGCACCTGAACGCTGTTCTGGGCAAGGGAGAAAGCAGGTATTTGCTGATCATTTGGCTAATATGTGCATCTCAGCTACCCAGCAGTTCAACAGCTATTAACTTCTCAGTAAGGACTTTGCCATAGTGGAGGCATGACTTTGTGTCTCTTTCC